ACTCCTGACCTTGAGTGATCCACCCACCTCAGCCTCCCAGAGTGCTAGGATTACAGGCATGAGCCACCGCGCTCGGCCTGGTGTTTTTGAGATTTTTAAACTGCTGTGTTTGGGATTGAATGGTGGCATCTGTCAAAAAGTTTCTAACATTATATGTTTATAGCTTACCTGTGATAAATTTTAATAGTTAATGCTTGTGGTCATGTAATATTTTTTCTATTCCCTCTTTTTTTCTAACCTTAGAATAATTGCAGTGAGTTATGAAGCTCGTGCATTTGGAGTCACTAGAAACATGTGGGCAGATGATGCTAAGAAGTTATGTCCAGATCTTCTACTGGCACAAGTTCGTGAGTCCCGTGGGAAAGCTAACCTCACCAAGTAAGAAAAAAAGTTGTTTAAGGGGACATAGAGGAGTTGAAAGTAATATAATTCATGGGACTAGGAACTGGTGTTTCAAATTTGTTTTGTATAAATAATATCTGAAAAAGTTTCCTTTGATCACCACATTCTAGGTGTTTATTGTCAACTTGGTAATTGGAACATTAGTATATCCATAAATGATTGGTTGGGGTATGCATATATGTGGCGATGATCAGTTCACACATTAACCAAATTCATCATTGACTGAAGTATAAAACCCATATGTCAATTTGTTAGTTTATAGTGAGAAATACTAGCCTGAGGAAGACCAGATACACTGGTTTACTGATGAATGCAGCATTCCTCTTATTTAAATAAGTTACCTCTTATTTAAAGATTGAATTAGAAGAAGATTGTGTGGTGGATATGTGGGGGGAAAATCATAATAAAATGTTTTCTACTTAGAGTAGAGGCATTTCTTTCTTCTTTAGAGGAATTCTTGTCACATAGACATGTTCATGGTCTGGATGCTTTCTACTGTAGTAGTGCTAGTGCTAAAAATGTTTGCCTCAGTGGTTCTTCCTTGTGCATGCTTCTGTTATTGACCATCTGCCTGCCAGTGGCCCCCTTCGGTTATTCCTATTATCTAATCTCTTAAGCCACTTGTCTCTTGATTGTGTATATTACTGTTCATTATGGAAGGGTGGGGATGAGATAGATGATTTCAAGATTACTTCTGTTTATTGCCTACATGTATGATGCTTATACTTAGGTACCGGGAAGCCAGTGTTGAAGTGATGGAGGTAATGTCTCATTTTGCTGTGATTGAACGTGCCAGCATTGATGAAGCTTATGTAGATCTGACCAGTGCCGTGCAAGAGAGACTACAAAAGCTACAAGGTCAGCCTGTCTCAGCAGACTTGTTGCCAAGCACTTACATTGAAGGGTTGCCCAAAGACCCTACAACAGCAGAAGAGACTGTTCAGAAAGGTACTCCCATAGCATCATATTTCTTCTGTTTCCTGCCTTTGGAACCTGCTTTGCTTGGTCATGCTGGTCCTTGGAATGCTTGAAAGGAAACTTAAACTACAGCCTGAATGAATCACAAGGACTCACATGGAAGGATATACAAATTCTCTTATCTTTCCAGTTATATGAATATTGAGAAGCTATGAAATCTATGTGAAAGTAAATTTCTCTTTATATAGCTAGGGCAGCTTAGTGTTATAAATAGAAGATAGAAGGCTGACTGGGGACTTCCATCATTTGTAAGTTAATTTATATTATTGTAACTTAGGTTTTTGGTTTCTTCATCTGTAAGAAGGGTGAGCTTTTATAAGTTATACAGTATTGCTTTGTGTATGTGCTTTTAATTTGTGCTTTTTAATTACAAGATGACTTTGTGCCATTATAGATCTCATTCTTTTTCTTCATTTTCCTTCCACGGTCATTTTAGAGATCTATCCATGTGGCTGTATTTATAATAAATAATGGCTTTTATCTGCAGCAAAATCCAAGGTATAACTTGACCACGTTTACAGATCATTCTCCCTAGTGATGAGTTCATTGGTTGTTTTTAACACACTGCTGTTTGTATTATAAATGTCCTTATTTATTCTCTTTCGGACCTAGGCAAGGGTTTCTCTGGGAAATGTTTTCAAAAGTGGACTACTAGGTCATAGGGTATACATATATATTAATACTTAGTTTCACTAAGCACTGCCATATTGCTGAAACAGTTTGTATTCTCTCTGGCAATATGTAAGAGTTCCTGTTTTCCCCATGTTCTTAATAATTATTGGTATCATGTAATATTTGCCAATGTGATGACTATGAAGTGGTATTTTTTGTTTTGCTTTAGTTTACATTTCTCTGATTATTGAGATCGAGGATCTCTTCATGTACTTACTGGCCAGCTGAGTTTCTGCTTCTGTGATTTGCTTATTAAAATCTTTGCCCATTTTTTCCATTGAAAAATCTATTTATTTTTTGATTTGTAGGAATTCCTTTGTATATCCTAGTTATTAATCCCTCGTATTTTTTTTTTTTTTGAAATGGGGTCTTGCTATGTTGCTTAAGCTAGAGTGCAGTGGCTATTCACAGGTGCAATTATAGCACACTGTAGTCTAAAACTCCTGGGCTCAAGCAATTCTCCTGCCTTGTCCTCCTGAGTAGTTGAGAGTACAGGGATGTGCTACCATGTCTGGTTCTCCCTTGTCTATTTTTGACATTGTATATATCTTCTCCCAAGTCTGTTATCTGTCTGTTAACTTTGTTTATGTTACATTTTGTTAAACAAAAATTCTTACTTTTAGTCCATCGATTTTTCACTTCATGGTTTCTGCATTTTGAATCTTGTTTAAGAAATCTATTTCTACCAGAAGTTCACAAAGACGTTTTCCTATATTTTCTTCTATTTGCCTTATAGTTGATTTTTACATCATTCAGTGATGCACAGTTCACCTTTTTATTTGATTTAAGATAGGGAGCCATCTTAATTCTCTTTATAGTGAGCCAGTTTTCCCAGCACTTACCACTAAATAGGCTATTCTTTTCTCAACTTCTCATATATAAGTGAGCTTTATTCTGTAATATTCCATTAGTCTGTCTTCTCTAGCTCCAGGAACGCATTTTTTTTCGTTCAGGAAAGTGAGCCTGAACATTGTTTTTATTACTGCTGTTTGGAGTATGTCTTAATATTTGATAAGGAATCCCCTCTGCTTTTGTTTTTCAAAACTATCTTAGCTATTTATGCACCTTTATTGTTCATTACTCATTTTAGAATACATTAGTCGACTCTTCAAAAAAATCCTTATTGAATTTACATGTTTAGAGAGGATAGTTATCTTAATGTTAAATTATCCGATCCATAAATATGTCTCATCAATTTTTTAGGTCTTCATTTATATCCCTTTTAATGTTTTGTTTTGTTTTTTTCTTGAAACTGAGTCTCGCTCCATCCCC